CATATAAAATTAAAAAGGAGAAACGGAAAAAAATTGAGCCTGTAAATGAACACAACTCAGAAACAAAAATAGCTATCTAATAATAAAAAAATAAAATTTGATTCTTGTGCAGCTTCATCTATATCATTAACTGTTTTTGGTTTTTTAATGTTTTTTCTTGGTGATGAAAATTCCGATATCTCACGGTTATCGATTCTTTTTTTCTCTCCAGAAATGCGATGTTTTTAGATACTCCTGTGGCTGCAGCAACACGATCATTTACATTTTTAAATGGCATTGAAGGTGAATTAAAGTTTCCTTCTCTTCTCATAAACTCTATAACATTGGCTATTATTTCGCGAGATTGACTGTTAATCACGCGGCCTCTTAATTTGCTATTAAACTCCATACTTAGGTTCTATTAAACTGTAATGAGCAAAAAACAAACGAAAATAAAAGAAATGTTTTAGCGAAATTTACATCTGACATTTACGTCAGAATGAAATAGTGAAATACTTGATGCGCAGAGTGTACTTTCATTGCGTAAATCCGTCGGGATGCCTGTCAGTAGTGCTTTCTCTGTCTAGCCGTCGAAAGCCTCTAGAAATTTGATGAACTGTAACGTCTATCATAAAACTGCCAACTGACGTCAGGTCGTCGACTTATATAGCTTGCCTCGACCTTCTAAAACCTTCTCGAACAATCTGGACTTTTCTTTGACAAGGAATAACATTTCGAGACATTTCGGGAATATTCTTCTTTATTTACTCGTACCTTTACTTATGACGACCGCAGCACGCTACAGGGTGCTGCGTAACAGTATAAAATAAAAATGCAGCTACTAAACATGAAAAACTAGATATCCTAGAATTTGATGATGACAATCAAGTATTCTATGGAATAGACATTTCGTGAAACCATTTTAAATTGCATTTATGTAAGATATTAAAGCAATCAAGAATGTCATGAGATAAATCTTTTGACAAATCAAAATGATTTTCTTGAAGTCGATTAGAAAATGTTGATGTTCCTATGATATTATGTGACATTATTTTAAATTTATTAAGTTATTGGATTAAATAATTATTGTGCGTTATTTTCTTTATTAAAATTAAAGTTACATGTTGTTGTGTTCATTACATTAGTTATTTTTCTTCAAATTAAATAATTGGTAAGTACTATGATATACATTTATTTAGTTAATCAAATGAAATATTTGAATTTTTACAATCATTTAAAAGGGCGTTAAGTTAATAAACATTTAAAATGTATGGTCGTTGAAATAGTCCGGCCACGGGACAACTATTATAATAAAATTGATATAAAATAATTTTGATAATTGATATTTAGATAATTCAGGGTGATATTTAGGTTTCGATATGTAGGTTTTTAGTTTAATTTTTTTTTATATGGCGAATTCCAACAATAATATTCCATTAATTTATAGAATACATACTTATAGATAATTTACAGTTATTTGGGAGCAACATGGTTGAAAATGCAGGAAAAACGGACACGAGGAGCTGTTTTATTTGCAAACAATCCACCCACGAGAATATATTATTTGACCGTGAATGTTTATCAAAATTTAAGAAAAATAATGGAATGTCGAAACTTCTACAAATAGAAGTATATCGTAAAATCACTTTGTATATAATATAATTTGTAAAATTATTAATATAATTAACTAAATTCATTACCATTACTTTTTAAATAAATTGTATATTTTTTATATGAAAACCATAATATGAAGATCTATAGCCTACGCATTATTTTCATAATATTAAACGTTATTATACGAGAATGACATATACGCTAAATTATTTATTTAAAATAATAACCCTGCCTGCATAAACATTTCTACGTTTTCTGACAGATCTATTTTAAATAAATAATATGATCCATTTTCGACACTTATGCCTTTCATTACAGGGTCTTATAATCATTATGCCAAACGGCTTGTGTGGGAAAATAGTGAATATTTTTAGATTTTCTTGTCAGCTTTTTGTTAAATAAATTATGTATAATTAATATGATAATCATGTCCGACACTCAAGCCATTTGTTATATAGTCTTGGAATCACTTTTTCCAAGCATATGACAAACGGCTTGTGTGAGAAAATGGTGGATATTTATAGATTTTCTTGTCAGAATTTTGTTAAATATTATGTATAAATAATATGAAGACCATGTCCAACACTCAAGCCTTTTTATATATAGTCTTAGAATCACTTTTTCTAAGCATATGCCAAAAGGCTTATGTGGGAAAATGATGAAAATTTGTTAAATTTTTTTGTTAAATAAATTATATATAATTAAAATTATAACCATGTCCGACACTCAAGCCGTTTGTTATATAGTCTTAGAATCACTTTTTCTAAGCATATGTAAAGCGGCTACCATGGGAAAATGGTGGCAATTTCCATACAATTTTCCTGCAACTTTCCGACGCAACCCTTCGTATCGTCCACATCCGATGCTCATGCTACTGAATTTTTTTATATGTTTCACTGTTTTTTTTTTGCTTAGTATTTGTACAATTTTCAACACAGCAACTCCTGTTGCTTATTGTATTAGTTTCACCTACTTTTTTGAAAAAAAGTAATATGTATACGTGTATTTGATATGCCAAAATTACAAAATTTCGCCCTAAAATGCACGAATTATCCGCAGCTAGCGCTAGTATCGCTTTTGCTTCCCTTTCCATGACTTCGCCCGGAGCGAATACCTACTTCTACTTTTGTGATATTGCTACTTGATTTCAAGAACATTTTAATAATAAATTTATATATTTTGTTTTATTTGAAATTTCCATGTCACGATTGAGAATTTACTATAACCTCAATTTCAGCCTCTCTGTATTACATTACACAAAGAACAATATAGTGTGTCCACGGATGGACTTAATTATACTTGTAAAACTATTTATTTTAAATTAAAAAAAAGTTATTTTTCATAATTTCTCAATGTAAATCGAATTTATTTAACAAGTACAAAAATTATGAAGAATTACTTTTTTAATTTAAAATAAATATTTTCACAAGTATAGTTAAGTCCATCTGTAGACACACTGTATAATGCCGTAGAACTAATTCACATTATAATATCTATAGAAAGTTTCAGAGCAACTTTCAGGGTAAGTACCGTAAAAGTGCTAGTGTGATGTCCAAACTTCACTTTGTAACCTCTGTATGATGTGCTATAAAAGTCTTGCCGTTGCGGATATTCAGCGGTTGTAGGGATATTAGGGTTAAAGAGCCTTAAATTGCAGCTTATTAACGTAGATGGGATGTTTTTGTGCTGGCTGGGTATGGTGGGGGGGACATTAGCCGAACCGAATGTCAGTTACAAAGCCAGAGAGCATAGCGATAGCGGGGATATCGTAGTTGCCACATGTTGGCTGTGAAAACACGGTTATGCCTAATACAAAGTAATAATTACGGTATAGTTATTTATTAATATACGTAGAACATCTTAATTAGTTCCAAACTTCTAATAACCCGAAAAGGGTGTGTTGCTGCCTAGCTAAAGCTTCTCATTCGAATATAACGTAGATAGTATGTTTCTTCCTCTTCCATGTAGAGTCTACATATGGTGGGATCATTACATGTAGGTAGGTGTTTCTCGTTAGTAATCTTACGATGGTGAATATTTGAGACGTTATGATTTGTATTAAGGCGGGTAAAGATCTGAGCACGTACGCGTATGAGGCAAGCCGAGGCCGAACCGAATGCCTCGTGCGGCGCATTTTGTACATACGAATGGTAGACGCACGAGGCACTGTTCGCTACTGATCCAGTGAATTCGCGAACATGGAACCATACACCCAGATCACTTGTATAATTAAAACAAAAATGGAGGAGGTTTGGTAGTTGAGTGCCTGTTTTATTATTTTGTCTGGATCTCCATAAAATATCTCGCTGATTATATACATCTAGGAGAAGCAAAACCTTTTATTGACTCCATTTTATCCAAAATAAACCTTGAAAACTCGGGATAATCTATTCGGTTCAAATTCCCCGTCCAGACTGAGCACGTACTGCGCATTGTCTCCCTTTGATGTACCGCCAACAAAAGGATCGGGGCGAGGCCGCACGGCACAATTTGCCGCGCCTCGGAAGCTCGTCCACACCTGCATGCTCATGCGTCCTCGGCTTGCCTCATACGCGTACGTGCTCAGATCTGTACCCGCCTTTATATGCGTAGGTGTGTTCGCCTAAGTATGAGTTATTAACATCGTATAGTCTTATCTGTTGCCAGTCGGTTTGGGGTTTAGTGGTAATCCATCTTTTTACTGCCTGTCGAGCAGAGGTTTTGTTTATCCCAAACACAGGTTCTGGTATAATATGAATAGTAGTTCTGAATTCTTCATCAGGCTTTTTATTTCCTTGACTACCTTTATGTTCCAATACCCATGCTAGTTTTATGCCAGATCAATAAATATTTAAAGGCAGGTTTCAAACCTTGATTAGATTTGAATCAAGGGCCTTTAAGGCTGCTGGTGTCGTGTTTATTTTAGATCCATACGAGATTCCTAAAGAAGTATTTCCAATATTTAATATGGGATTATTCTGGTACCTTTTTTACTAATGGGAGGTTCAGATTAATTTTTATAGTAGCTATCGATGTACTTATCAGTGCTCTTGTAATACAACCGCTCCATAAGTAATCATAGGTCTTGTTATTGTCGAATATAACCACGTTTTCCCAAATGCCCTTCTTCCTACTGATTCATATTTGTTGGCCACTTTTGTAAGTATTGCTATCTAGGATTAGATCCAGATATATTACTTGGTTTGTTCTTTTTTAGCCTTCCTTAAAATATTATCTAATACCGCCAACTTTGTTTTTCAAGTTGCATTTGGTCAGGGCGTACCAAGAGGTTTTCCCTAATGAACCATATTTCTATCGACCTTAGAACAGAGACTGTGGCTTGGTGTTTCCCTCGAATAAGGATGACAATCTTATCGGTTTATCCTTGGACGTACGCCCCAAAATTAATTATAAAAATATATTTGTAGGCCGTCGGACACTCCAGATGAAGAATTAGAAACGAAAGAAACTGGTCCGACCGAAAAAGAAGAAGAAACTACTCCTATTAAAGATGAATTAACTACCGAAGTGACTACTCTTACGCAATCATTGGTTTGGTACGTATTTGTGTTCATCTAGAAAGTTATATTTTCTTTCATTATCTTTTATTAAACAGTAATACTTTTATAAAAGTTGAAAATAGTAAAACTAACTTTATATAATATTAAGGGTTTGCGAACATGTCGAAGATGAAGTAGATTTGCCAATGGTCGATCTAAGTGACATCATTCACAGTACCCGTCCCGATGATGTCCTCATCAAAGATCCAAAAATTGTACAAGTCTTGGACGAAGCCGTAACGGGTTGGGAGAATCATATCATTAGGATAATGGAAAATTACGAAGCAAAGGTACAATACATATAATTTTCGATTTAAAACTGTCGTGGACAAAATATTTTAACGGTCTGAATTTCTGAAAATCAATAGGATTGTAAGTAAAATCAAAACTGCAGGTCGATTGGAGCTTTCGTTCTAGAATTATCGTGCCGGTATACATACGCAAATCAAAATTGGGAAGGTTTTGAAATTTGCTTTTTCTGTTGACTCTTAATTTTATTTTAGTATTTAGTTGTAAATATAATGTACTGATCAAAAATGCAAAAATGTAATTTATTTCTCGTGCAATCTTATAATTGAGCATTTATTTGCTTGTTAGAATAGTAAAATAAATAAAATCGAAAGAATTTGTATTTGGATAGTCTTTCTTTAATTCATCTTGTATTGTACTACATTCGATACTATCGGTTCAGGATTTATTTATTTATTTATTTTTTAAATAACAGGCTGTATGTAAACCCTCATGTTTTCGTAGACACCCGTGGGCAAAGGTCCTCTTGCAGAGTACGAATACTGGCACGACATTGAGGCTGCTCTTAGTTCCGTGGTAGAACAATTAAAGAAACCACTTTTGGTGCGAATTTCTGATATGGTAGAGAAGGCTTTACCAGAGCTGGCTAATAGATTTATCTTCCAACAACTAAGACTTAGAAGGCACTACGGACAGGCCAAAGATAATGTCAAGTTTCTGTCAACTGTCTTGAGATTTCTTAAGGTTAGTATTTGAATATATTTGTGATATGCGTTGCGGTATGCAAAAACATTTATAAAACTATAGTTTGACCACAGATTACCCAGATGCGAAAGTTGACAAAGAACATCAAAATTAGAGAGAGATAAATGGCCATACCCATTTAAAGGTCCCTCGTAGCAACTCGTTTCAACTCGCGCAGTTCCGAAGGCAGAAGTTATTTCATTATGCGAAGTTGTCGATGCTCCTAGGTTTTCTGATGTCATGTGACATTGGACTTCAAGTTAAATAAAAATGTACATACATTTTTTAGTTACCACAGAGGATACATACAAATAACGCATAATTAAAATCGGCTAAACATAAAATAATACAAAACCATTTAAAGGTTTATAGTTTACATTTATTAATGGCAATCAATGACACTTTAAATACGCTTGAAATTTTAATTTTTTATGTGACAACCTTGCTTAGGATGCTGTAAGTGAGATGACATTTCTGTGACATTCAGGACAATCAGGACCGGTCGTGACGCTTTGCGTAGTGTGCATTTTTGGATAAAAATATTGTGTATTTGTAGCTAGTCTTCTTCTGTAGATAAATCATGAGTGAAACGAAGAATATACGTCGTGGTGGCATCTAAGGCACGTATTCATATCTGTAAATGTACACTTTTCTACTGCAACTTTCATTTTAGGTAGCAACAATATTTTTAATCATTTGAAAGCTTATGATATCAAATCATTATTTGGAAGTCTAAAAACACCAAACGCATGTTTTTATCAGTTGGAATATTTATTTTTTGAAAATTACTTACCTTATCCCACACTTGAAATAATTCGTATAATTTGTTTAATATAGTTCAAGGATTTAAACACTCTTGTCAACATTTTACTTATGACTACTTTCTAAAGTTATTTATTTGTCTTCAAATATTTTACCTAATAAAATTCAGCAACAGATATTTCAGAAATCAGCCAAAAAAAAAATAGAAAGGTATGTATTTTAAGTAATATCTAATGAGTGCTTTAGATAGATATAAAACTAAAACCAAATTTAATGAATATTCATGAATACATGTTCTGTTTCGCATTTTCATCCAATTATACTTTAAAGTTCAGAAGTACCAACCTACCAAACTATTTGTTCAATATTTGTTTTATTAGGTTTGTGCCTACAGGCGATAGAATTGTAATTTCCTGCTAATAGGCTGTATGCAATAAGTATTCAAACCTCCATTACTTACAAAAGTTGTATTGGTATACTTGTTAGTGATGGATTTATATTGTATCCCAACAAACAATGAATTGCCGGGATATTGCTGGCCTTTTGCTGTAATTGAAGGGAAAATGAACACGACGATTAAAAAACGAAAGCCTACTTTTGTCCTTTTGATAGTGGCCTAGCATTATGTTGATTGATGATAGCCATATGAAGGGTAATTAACTGGATTGGGCAAGCTCGAGGTAAAAGTCAAAAGTCTTTTAACTGCCGCAGACCCAACCCCCCCAAAAGTCCAGGAGGGTTCCGTCCCGCGATCATAGATGGAGATACCGATGATCACTTGCTACATACTCAACGAATGGACATGAGGCCAGTTTCGGATTGCTGGTATTCACTATTCATTATAGTTTCTTACTCATACATGTTAATTTAGAATATTTTATGAATATACATTTTGTAGAAGACATTTTATCTCTATTATACATATATTATATAGCAGAATTAAATAAAATGTCTACAATATTCTAGGTATATTGGAATGCATTCGGTTTTATATTTATACTTCAAACAGTACTGCTGGTCAAAGAGGCGCTATCGAATTGTACCTGGCACATGGCCTTTATTTAGCAGTCAGTATTAATATGGTAAAATGCCTGCAATTTCCCGTTAACTTCCCATCAATAGGCCACTAATTGCAAATATATTTATATAATCACATTAAAGGGAAAATGGAGGCCTATTAACTGGATTTGATGGCTAAGCCCGCTTAACAAATTTTTAAAACCTTTACATTATAATTCGTTGCTTGTCATAACTTTTTACCTATAATAACATGAAAATATTAATACAAATCATATTCTTTTTCTTTTAAAATGTTTAAAAATGAAACTCCTATCGATAACTTTTTAACATTCTCGTGCTGCTACTATACATTAAACCATTAATTACCTAAACCAACCCTGGCATCCAAAACGCATGTATAGAAGAAAATCATATTTAGTAAGACTGATTGAAAATAACTAAAATTGGCAACACCTATGCCATACCCATTTAAAGTCCAAGGTCATAGAAATCTCATTTCAAAATCCTTTGATCTTTTGCCGGGTTTCGCATCTGTTGTGGTTCATCTGTGGTTTGACTTTATGTTTACCTATAGTTCATAAATAAGTTTATACAATACACAAATATCTAAGCAAACCTAGACATACAATCTTTTACACAATACAATAAATCTGCAGTTTATTTCTTTTAGGTATAGGCCTAAAATAATTCAACCTTGCAATTTAAAGTAAGAAATAAATAGACTCTGCTTTAAGAGCAGTGTGATCTAATCAGCGCCATATTCTATATTTGATTGTGTGACTTTAAATCAGTAACGAAAATTTGTGAGTTAACAGAAAGTTGGGTTGTAAAAACAAAGATAGTTTCATTTTTTTTAGAGAAGAAAGGAGTGCAGCAATTTAATTTGTAGAATGTAGTATAGGTCTAAGAGGTAGGCATTTTATTTATACCTCATTCGTCAATGCTTATTTGTAGTTAAAATGAAAATTTTATAACATCTCATCGGCCTAATAAAAGTTTTCGTTTAGATTTAATCACGTTTCCATGGTTTTTACTGTAATAAACCTTTAATTTTTACAGATAAGTCAGACTTTATTTATTAATAGCCGTATCGTATGTATTTTATATGATTCGGAATTTTGTAATTTTACAGTTATATAAGAATGGCGAATGCATTAGAAAATACTGCAAGCACAAGTAAATCGGTCATTTGAGAAAGATACATGTCACATTTTTGATCATTTTGGTTTTATACCAAAAAAATACAATATTTAAAGGTAAACCACACAGTAACATCACATACATTCGTATGACTTATGCGTCACTTAATATCTGACTGCGTTTAGAAACAACACAAGTTAGTGACATGTCGTCGATCTAAAGCACACATGTAACTCCAAATTTAATGTTATAACGATATTGGTACCAATTAAATCGCATTTTAGTCTTCTTTATTGGGCACAAACATTGTAGCTCCAACACCCACCAAACTACAATAAATTCAAATTTAAAATTGAGAAGTAAGGCATTTAATTACACTTTCTAGAATTTTAAATTTGCAATTGTCCAAAAATGCGTTTTTGAATATACAATAAGTGTGCTTTAGACCGACGATGTGCTCTTTTTAAACGCAGTGAGCTGGGGTGCGTTCAGATTTGCAGGATAGACGCGTCAGGATGTTCATCTTTTGTACTTAATCGTTCTTAAATGAAATAAGTTCGTCGACAAAAATACGTCCAAGTCGTTCTGAAATTGCGGACTATTTCACCAGGATGAAATTATTTTACCCACCTCCTTCAGCAAGGTAAAAGTTACCCGACATGCGCGTAACTGTTTAGCGTAGAGTAGAGGTTAAGGATAGAAAGAGCGATTTCTGATATATTGATAAAATACTTTAGACTTTAGATAGTTTAATATGTACAAACAAATAAATAATGATTACCAATTAGTCACAGACGAGGAGGGAAATGTTGTATCCGATGGGCAAAATATTCTTTTACAAAAAATGTGTGGTGATAAATTGTATTTTTGCATTATAATACAATTTTTTAGGTAAGTTCGTCTTTTTTTTTTAGATGAATCTTTAATTTATGCTGATCCAAAGTTAGTTGCAAAACATTTTGGCTTGGAACTCGAAGAAAGCAACAATAATATTGGACAAGAAATAAGAAACAAAGAGCCTGAACAATGAAATAACGAATCTAGTACAATCGAAACCACTGGAACCATTTGGTCGAGATCCGAGATACTAAAGTTGATTGATATTTATAAAAAACATATTCATCAATTTAAATCAACGACTATAAAAAATGACAAAGTTTGGCAAAATATTAGTTTAGAAATGAAAACTAGAACTTGGGAGCAATGTAAAAACAAATTTAAATATTTGAAAACTAAATATATAGAGAAAAAAGACAATATGGGCAGTAAAGCAAGTGGAGCAAAAGCTTTAAAATTTGAATTCTATGAAGATATTGACGAGATATTTGGCAGTCAGCCCAATATCAAACCTGTGGCAATTGCTTCTTCAAGCAGAGGGATACAAAATGTACAATCTCTTAATTTGACAGAAAATTCTGAAGAAAATCGCGACCCAAATGCAAACCCAAAACTGAATATTTGTATTAAACAAAACATATGGGATCAAATTGAAAATGAATGTACTGATGGAGAGAAAGGCAATAGGAAAAGGAGAAAAATAGCAGAAGATGTATACAGAGATGTTGAGGAAATGAAGGAGGAAGGTAGAAATCGTAGGCATAAAGAAAAGATACAAGTTCAGAAAGAACTTATTTGTGCAATTGTAGAGTTATTAGATGTTTTTAAAAATAAATAAGATTACAAATAATTGTTTTTCAAATTTGTTTTATTATGTTTTGATCCAGTTATATGTTTTTTTTTTTATTTATTTTTAAGATTTGTATTATAATTTTTGTTCAAATGGTAAAAGAGTGTTGTTTTGATTAAAATATTTAAAAATTACTATTGTGTTATTAAAAAATCAATGAACAATTGCTGCCAAGTAATCTCGTTTTAAATGTCCTTCAGGTAAACCTTCTTGTCTGAAAACATAATTATCTTCTTCATTATTAATCTGTTAGATTCCGTCATTTACATATATTTCTAAATCTGGTTCATTTTCTAACAAACATAAATTGTGTATTGTACAAGCAGCTATTACCGTACTTGGAATTAAATCGGTCCTATTCATATCAAGATGTTGTAAGCGTCGAAATCTACCAAATAATAGTGAAAAGGCTCGTTCAATAACTTGTCTTGTTTTTGCATGTAAGGAATTAAATGTCCTTTGCCTTTCTGTCAAGTGACCCCTACCTATGTAAGGAGGTATGCACCAAGTAAGAGTAGGAGTGTTGTTTTCAATATCTCTATAAATATCGGAGTTTCTACAAATTCTTATGTCTGAAACAGAACTGGGGTATCCTGTAAAGCAGTCTATAAATTTTAGATCTGGTGTACATATAGCTTGCAATGTAATTGCATGAAAACATTTTCTATTAATATATACTTAAGGGTTGTTATTGGGGGCTTTAATTAGAATATAAGTTCCATCTATCGCTCCAATTACACCAGGTATTCCTGCAATTTGTTGAAAAGTGTGTTTAAGAGCTTGTTTCTCTTCATGATCTGGCCATTTAATAACTTGTGGAGCAAATTCATTAAGTGCTTTTATAACTCGAATAAAACATACATATAAAGAAGATTTTCCCAAATCAAAACGGCATCCCACAGACCTATAAATAATGTAATTAATGTTTTTTACTACTTATGATAATAATGGCACTATCACGAAATATCGCGTATCAAAATAGCGCTATTGTTTCAGCGTTTAATTAAAATGACGTGTTTCGAAATAGCGCCCGAACGAAATAGTGCGTACTTAAAATAGCGCGTATCGAAACAGCGCCTGAATGAAATAGCGTTTAGTATTTATTAAAATATCGCCTGGATCCATCAACGGGGTGCTTCGCCAAAAATGTTTACATAAAATAATTAAAATAACTTAAGTAATTTACCTAACCTGTGCGTAAGGGATCGGTTAAATTTAAATGGCACCTGGCCGCACATGTTTTTAAATTTTCTCATTTTACGTATATTTTTTTTGGGAAGCAACCCGCGATAGCTCCTGTCCTCGCAGGTTAGGTACATTAGGTAATTTTTTTTTCATAATTTTATGTAAAAAATAAATTGTGGAGTACCCGGCGCTGTTTGGTTCAGGTGCTGGTTGGATCGGGCGCTATTTTGACTGACGTTCTTTTAATAAGCCCTATTTCGTTCAGGCGCTCTTTAGAAACGCGCCATTTCGCTCAGGCGCTCTGTTGATATGCGCTATTTCGTTACAGAGCCGATAATAACATACCTATAGCTATCTGGGGTAGCTAATAACCACAACACAGACATTAGCTGTTTCTCAACAGGTATCCGTAGTCTACCAGTTGATCCTTCTTGTTTTTCTAGCAATGGAGATAGTCTTGTTAATAGTCTATCAAACTGCAACCTGTTAATTCGAAAATGCTGTTGAAAATGTTTGTCAGAACAGTTATCAATAACATCAGTTATAAAATTGGCCACTCTTGGCACTTTTCTTCGATTTTGAGGATTATAAATTTCTTCAATTTCAATTCAAAAAATGAACTTCCAGAAATATTATTCAAATATTACCAAATTTTACATTCTCCAAATCTGAACGCACCCCTGGTGTCAATTATTTAAAAACACGGCATCAAGTACCGAAAATGATTTTATTTACAACCATATATGTAATGTTGTCATTACTAACGTTATTAAAGGTTGGGAAGTGTCACATTACACACCTCTACTTCCCGCCCTCATTTCATCTATTCTAGATGAATATTTTTTATATTTAAAAAAAATAACACATTTTTTTGACAAATTTTATAATACCTATTTAATGGCAAACAATAAAAAACAACAATGAATTAAAATACAAAAAACTACTTATTGATATTTATTATTCGCGAATTTAATATCCGGCTTTATCTGACATTTATTTATATTGATGATAGTTGTTTACCCCGTAATCACAGTAACAATATATTTACTTGATTATTCTGAGAAAACCGCGCGCTTGGTAATTTGTCGTTAAAGGTAATATTTTAGGTATGTTCAGAACGAAACAGAGATTTATTAACGTTGATCGAAATATGATGGTTGTAAATAAAATAGTATACAAACCTCGGTAGGAAGTTTCATTCCTGTCTCTAGATCATAGCTAACCTCGACGCTTCGCGTCTTGGTGATCTAAATAGTCTCACGACGGGAATGAAACTCTTCCCATCTCGGTGAGTAATATACTATTGATAGTGCTCCAACTATTTTAATAAATAAAAAAGAAAAAAGAAAGTTATGTAAATGCGAAATACTAAAAAATGCTAAAATAAAGGACAAAGAATATATAAATTACAAAGGTGTTGTAGTTTCCGCGAAAGCACATTTGGTTTTTAAAAAATATCAAAAACTTTATAAAAACCGGAATTTCATTTTAAGTCTTAATAATACAAAAGTTAAAATGTGAAAGCTAGAAAATGCCGGCAACGAACTAGTTTTGTTGCCGCTAGATCTTGGTGGGGCCTTATCTTGGACTTGCCGCTCTGCATAATTCTACTTGTATTCCCTATGATTGTGTTATCATAACTTGTGAATGAATTTTCTAATATTTTGTATAATGCCAATCCAGAAATTCCTAAAGCAATTTTGTATCCAGACTGTACTTATTTAAAAATACCAAAATTTGGATATTTTATGTGTTTTAAACTTTTATCAAGCGTATGTTTTGAAGACATTTAAAAGTGTTTACTGTTTTAGTATTTAGTTAGCATGGGCGTCGTTTGGGGGGGGGGGGGGGGGGCAGAATATATGCCTTACGAACAACAATCTCATATAGAAATAATAATACAGGCTAATATAGTTGAAGAATATTATAGGTTGAATATATTTATTGCATATCTGGATTCCCTTATTACGTCGCTTACATGACGCTTTTCCGAAGACTCTGTTAGTTTGTCCTTAAGCCTGTTACATCCCAAAAGCATTAAAACAATACTTTTTCACTACCAATTAGAAAATTAGAATCGACAATTTTCAAGCTGAATACCAAAATGGAGTACGAAAGAGCTTCCTACACACAATGAGCTCTCCATTAATGATATAGCATCCAAACATTGTGAATTTTATCCAGACATACAAAGTGGTTTAAAAAATATTTATGGCTCTTCCACCAACGACAGAGTTAATCGAAAGAACGTCTGATATTTTGCTTGCTGCTGTCAGTGTCAGTGAATATTATTTTTGGAGCCACAGTTTATTGCTAAAGAATCAGTTAGCTCACTCGGACCAGTTGAAAGTTCCAAAATAACATCCACTCTAGGGATACAAATTCAGGATACGCAGAAGACTGCTGTTTTATATTATAAGCGGTTGACATATATTGTATTATCCGAGTTACGCAGTGTATAAACTGGTTCATTGAGATCAAAAGTGCCGACGTAGAGTGAGCGATCTGATTCTTTAGCTATAAATTGTGGCATAGGAATCAAAATGGCCGCGTCCTATGTTGGGCGTATCGGACCTCTCCTCTTGCACCGTATTGTAATCAAAAGGTTCTTTCGTTCGCTGTTGGTGTAGTGTCCACCAGTGTAAATTACACCAGTTACACACCTTATTTACCCTAATTTACTTCCTCCTTATATCTTATACACATGTCTTCTAGTAGTTTGTACATGTGCCTTGTGTTTATTTTTGGGACAAAGAAAAAGATGTCGCTGTTTGAGGCTTTAATGAAAAAAATATATCTTCGTGTCCAGCATCAAAAGAAATATAATCACCTTACTCAAAAAAAATGTATTAGCATACTTTCTGTCGTCATCTATGACATTGCTATACTCTTAACTACTGAAATAGTCTGATAAGTAATTTTAATTTTCTTTTCTAGACTATTACACAAAGTAACGACTTTAAGAAGGTCACTCTGTGCATACCGTTACTTATGGATGGATTAGAGTTAATTTGGATATTGTCCAATTACTATAATAATGACGAGGTCATGGTACCGTTTATGGAACGAATAGTTTGGTGTTTATTGGATAAATCACGAAAATTTTTGAACAACGAAACATTATTTAGGTAAATCGAAAACTTTAGAGTAAGTTACTTATTATATTGAAATTTAAACTGAGCCCGTTTGTCTCAATACTATGTATATTAAGAAAATGAGAATCTCACAAAAACATGAGGAATATTTCATGTTAAAATTTTGGGATAATTAGGGTTATGTATAGGTACATCATACAGCGGTGATTTATACTGTATATTTTCATTGCAGGAATCCTATTGATGTAGTAAAAAAACTTACAGAAGGGTCAAGAGAAATGTTGGAAATGTGGCAAACCGCCTATATGACAACTAGACAACGGATAGAAGATTCTGGCAAAGGGGCTAGATGGGAATTTGATAGAAGAAAGCTTTTTAGTGCATCAAATTATATGGCCAGAGTATGCAAAGATCTTAATGAAGTGTCTACGGTAATTTTTACTAATTGGTTAATTTTTAATTCGTTTAATCTTCTTTACGGGGCTTTCTCAATAGGAATACATTAAAATCAAGAACAAATAAGTTGGCAATAATATAAGATCTTGACTTAAATCGACTTTATCTCATCGTTTTTCTTCTTTAAATATATATTTTATACAATTTAGAGCCGAACTTTTTACCTCTGAGTAAAGTTATTGCGGGGGTTACTTGACAGATTAACGAACAATAGCCCTATAGTTCAATTAGCAAGTAGTTAGTGTCAACTTTAGTCAGAGGTGAAAAGATTGGCCTTTAATGAATAAATAAGCACAATGTGTAGGGTTGGCGCCCAATAATCGGTTCAGGTTATTTTTAATTTAAAAAAGTAGGATGCATGGGAAGGAGTAGTGGCACTATAAGCCATCTGCGCTTTAGTGCCGCCATGTGAATCCCAAAAGGAGGGAAATCCGGCTGGATTTAGGATCCAGCCTGATTGAGGGAAGCCAGTGGCTGGACCCAAGCCTGATTGGGGAAGTCCGCCAGAATTCCTCGAGGAGGAGCAGAGAGATGCCTGAAAGGGTAAAAAAATATCTCTTAATTTAAAACAAGAAATTGCTAGAGTAGAAATGCAAAGGCAAATTATAACTGGACGGCGTTATGCAGAAAACTACCAACCAACAATATACCAGATATTAGGTTGAGTGCGGATTTGGGCAATAAAATACATGTTTTGCATTCTGTAAGAACCTGCCAAGTCTCAGTTAATTATATACCCTATAAAACTATAAAATGCTAGTCCATATCCCATAGCTTTCTTAAACGAACAAAAACTTTAGAACTGATTATCTCAGTTTATTACTATTGAGGGTTGGTAGCTTCCTGCTTAACGCCGTCCAACTGTAATGATTGAGTTAGAGAAAAGAATTCGTAGTCAAGCTTCCGTAAACAACATTGAAGCTGAAAACACTACCTCTTCTCATCTATAACCGAACCAAGCCGCATTCGAAACCCATTTTCGCAAACCTATACTAGCAAAAGACTCTCAAGCCACCCACGTTTACGGTCAGACAATATGGGAAAAGTATCGACTTCAATTTGAAGCTGCAGCTAGAGCCAATAGCTGTGCCGAGAAGGAGATGGCGGCTTCATTGATAGTGTCGCTGCGTTTTACAGTTACTTGCCCAATTATTCGTCTCTCGTCCAATCTTGAAGACAAGGTATGGCCAGCAGCATTTGAAACAGGCATTTCAAAGCCTGCCAAATGTTTGTAGTCAGAAACACAATGAGAATCTACAGGAATTCGAGACCGATATAAAAAGATTACTGCATCTGGCCTGTGGAGTGTAGAGGAAAGGAAGACAATCTTATATGGTTGTTTATATCAAAAAGTGTCCACCAAACTGTATAAAATTAAGATGAAGCTCGTGTACTAGAAGGGAAAAATCCAATGATATATACTCATATAGATTGTTCATCCGTATGTAAATCAGACGACGAAAAGCGAGGCGCCACTAAATGGCATTATTGCAGGCAGGCAAGCAGTAAAGCAGTTTTGCGAATGGCATTATCAGGGAATGCGCAAAAGTTGGCAAAACAAGTCGTCTAACTCAAAAAGAAAAAAGTTTTGCTTGTTAGTTTTTATATCGTATTTTTTTTATTATGTTTAAGTACTTCTATTTTGAATAAACCCACAATCCTGACTTGTGTATACACTAGAGTGGCCATATATTATGTGCAGTATTTCCCTGTATTGTACATATTCAGAGTCTATCCAGTATTTGATATTGTACAGAAATTGTGTTTGGCTAACAAAACGACATTATTGTCCATCACTGTATTACATAATTTATTAAAACGACGTAACAAATAAGACGAAACATAATACATGACGTCTTCTCTGTTGTTGTATTTATATTTGGGGAGCTAAAAAAAAAGGTGGTCCTCTATACATGACTTTCTGTTTTTGTATTTTTATCTTTGGAGCTAAAAAATAGGTCTTTATCCCTCCAAAATTCATCAATTTTGAATTCATTTTCAACGTCCAGCATTGGGTTAAAATAAATATGGTCACTTTAATGATGATGATGATGGGTGACATTGCACTTCTTTTTGTATTCGTACGTTCGATACAACAGTAGCAGGCTACTGCAGGGTGCAGTGTAACAATATTTTCTTTCTACTCATTTTATATTGTAGGTATTACATAATCTGTATCGTAATATTTATTTCGATAAAGATTACCTTTTCGTTACAATACAGATTAGGTAAGAAATTATATATGGATGATCAATATGTAACTATATACATCATTAGATAGTGTTTCGAGCAATATAAGCCAGACGGACAAAATTATTTAGTTGAAATTTCTGACTGTAAGGATTGTATCCACTTAAGTTATGATTATTTTGAACAATAAAAATCAAATTAAGGCTTTTATACAGTGTGTTTAATGATGTCGGCACCATATTGAAAACTTTTTTATTAATAATTTTTCGAAAAAGTTTTAGACCATGCAGTAATTTTTATAAATAATTTTTTTCCATATAACTAACAATAAAAAAAGTTTCCCATATGGTGCTGACTTAATTTACAAGTGTTTTTTTTTTAATTGTTGTACAAAAGTAAGCTGACAGGAACTGTTATATTTAGAAACTACAGAGTCACAGTTATGATTATATATGGTAGTATGAAACTACTAGCATAAAAATTCTACTCTAGTTGAGATTCTGTGATCAATAGAACATTTTTGACAATTCAACAAATTAATTAATTACAAATTAATAAATATAAATTAGAAGAACTGATCATTTACCTTTCTAAATTTGTTTTATAAAAATAGTTTAAAAATAAACTTGAAAATAGGAAAGTCAAATCAAATCAATTAATTATTGTATTACCCTGTATAATGTTATTTTATGTATCAATTAGGCATTCCAACAAAATGGCTACCAGTGGGTTTTGACAGGATATGCTATGGCAAAATTATGGCAACCCTGTAGGGTCAATGACATAGATAGTTATGTAGATTGAGCATCCATGTTTTTCAAAATAAGCATAAGCGTATGCCTTAAAGTAAAAATGTAGGAAATTCTTTTTTTTTTACCATATTCAAAGGCAGAAAATTGGTTTCTAAACAAATTTTTACTAAACCGATTCCGATTAATGAGCACTTGCCAGGCAATATGGCCACCCGCTTTGAGCAATTTATACAACTATTGCCGCGTTTGAGAATCCACATCGGATGCATCTGAGATGTGAATTTTTTATCAATTAGATCTGAATGTAGATGTAATAAACAAACGCTCTAGACTTTATTGGTCACGTGATAAAATATCAATGAAAAATTAGAAGTTTATAGTTTTTAAATTTAACTTTTGAGACTACAAATCAACTTAAATTTAAAATCTAAACAAAAATTAAACAAACTAATCACTTTTATATTCATGTTAGCATAAATAAACGATAAATTGACAAACTTGGCTTCACAGAACACTTACTTTTTGGCATGGAACGAACATCTCATTCACATCTCATTTCAAATCGAGATGTAAAAAATGTAATCTGAACAGGTACATCTGGGATAAACAAACGCAGATGTAAATGTAGTAGATGTGTCCGATGTAGATAAAAAACGCTCGAGATGTAAAAAATGCATCGGATGTGGATTTTCAAACGCGGCATATATATGTATCACTAGCGGCTTTGCACGCGTGGGGTCGTGTTTATAATTTAAAAAATGAATGATTATACATTTTTATTATTTTTAGTAATTTTTATTAGTTATTATTATTTTTAGTAATTTTTATTAGTTATTATTATTTTAAGTAATTTTTATTATTTATTATTAATTATTATTAATTATTATTAATTATTATTAATTATTATTAATTATTATTAATTATTATTAATTATTATTAATTATTATTAATTATTATTAATTATTATTAATTATTATTAATTATTATTAATTATTATTAATTATTATTAATTATTATTAATTATTATTAATTATTATTAATTATTATTAATTATTATTAATTATTATTAATTATTATTAATTATTATTAATTATTATTAATTATTATTAATTATTATTAATTATTATTAATTATTATTAATTATTATTAATTATTATTAATTATTATTAATTATTATTAATTATTATTAATTATTATTAATTATTATTAATTATTATTAATTATTATTAATTATTATTAATTATTATTAATTATTATTAATTATTATTAATTATTATTAATTATTATTAATTATTATTATTAATTATTATTAATAATTATTAATAATTATTATTAATTATTATTAATAATTATTATTAATTATTATTAATTATTATTAATTATTATTAATTATTATTAATTATTATTAATTATTATTAATTATTATTAATTATTATTAATTATTATTAATTATTATTAATTATTATTAATTATTATTAATTATTATTAATTATTATTAATTATTATTAATTATTATTAATTATTATTAATTATTATTAATTATTATTAATTATTATTAATTATTATTAATTATTATTAATTATTATTAATTATTATTAATTATTATTAATTATTATTAATTATTATTAATTATTATTAATTATTATTATTTATTAATAATTATTATTAATTATTATTAATTATTATTAATTATTATCAATTATTATTAATTATTATTAATTATTATTAATTATTATTAATTATATTTAATTATTATTAATTATTATTAATTATTATTAATTATTATTAATTATTATTAATTATTATTAATTATTATTAATTATTATTAATTATTATTAATTATTATTAATTATTATTAATTATTATTAATTATTATTAATTATTATTAATTATTATTAATTATTATTAATTATTATTAATTATTATTAATTATTATTAATTATTATTAATTATTATTAATTATTATTAATTATTATTAATTATTATTAATTATTATTAATTATTATTAATTATTATTAATTATTATTAATTAT